AGATTTGGTGTTATTCCTTATTGCAGCACCAGAGATTTTATTAGGTCAGAAGCTAACCAAAAGCTGCTGATATTTACAGTTTTGGAGTTGTTATATCAGAGATATTAACTGGTCAAAGACCTTTTTATGGTCATGATTTTGATCATAAACTTGCAATAAAAATTTGAAAGGATTGCAACCAGAATTTGCTTCCGAAAATTCAGATTGCTATGTTGAATTTGCTAAGCAGTGCATGGATTCGGATCCAGAAAACGTCCAGATGCTAATGGTGTTTGGGATAAACTTGAAGAATGGTATAAATGCTTGCAAAGTTCAGATGATGCAAGTAAAATTAAAAAGCAATTCTTAGAAGCTGATAAAACAGCTGATTGTCACACCAAAACATCACAATTTTATATATACTAGCAAAATTATTGATATGCAATTAAAGATATTTGTTTTAAAAACTTTAATTTATTAAAAACTTATTTTTTATTTAAAGGAAATACTATTTTCACCTGACTTTTTTTTTGTTATTAGAAAATCTCAAATCTGTAATATACGCATTATCCAATTCATCTTGCAAAATGTTTCCACTATGAAGATTTTAGTGTTCTAATCCTTGTGAATGAATTGCTTCAAGATCAAATGTTATACAACTTAATAAGTTTAATTTTTCTTCTCATTTTATTTGCGATACTTCGGTAAGATTATTACGTAATGATCCCTTTTCTGCATATTTCAAAATAAGAACGTAATTTCCTAAATCATCCCTTGATAGTCCATAGCATTTTAAGAATGATAAATTTTATATCCAATCTCACCAAACACTTTTAACTTTAAAAAAATATATTAAATTCAAATATTAAACAAAACTCAATAAATTTATTTCCATGAAAGCATTCAAAGCACGTAGATCATACCTTGTAAAGTTTACTGTGCCATTAGTTAAATATATAGCAGCACTTTGGCCTCGTGATATTATAAATCGTGTTCGTTCTGAATTGGGGGCCAGAACATCATATATTGAAGTCTGGAGAAGTAAAACAACTAAGCACGCGAAGTTAATTTTTCATTTTACATTACAGAATTTCAAAAATCCGGTCGGTCAGTTGGATCCTTTTAAGATGAAAAACTGGTTAGTTTTATATTTTTTAAAAAAGAAAAAAATTAAAAAAAAAACTTAGCTTAAAAATCTTGTAATAAATTTTTTAAGCTGATCTTGGCCGAATTTTTTATAAAATTCGTTCACCCGATCACCGCATTGGGGTGTCAGCGATTGATCAGGAAAAAAAGATGTAAAAAAACACTAGGTTAGGCGAAAGGAGAGTACCTTCTATAAATCTAGAATTTTTTCTATATATCTAGCCTTGATTGTTGTATCTACCACTGGTTTCTAATGTTTACTCTGAAAGAAACTCGGTCCTAAAAATCTCAGCAGCAAAAAAATCAGTTTTCTGCACAAAGGTGGAGCCTTAAATTAAATCCTCAAATTTATATCTTTGCCAGAGCACCCGCTTATCTAGTCAGGTGATTAACATCAAATACTAGATTTATATCTATACCAGAGCACCCGCTCGTCTAGTCAGGTGGTTAATATAGAACACGAAAGATTTAACTCAGTTTAACAGAATTACATCTTCACCAGAGCACCTGCTCGTCTAGTTGGGTGGTTAGATCCGAATACTGAAATACTAGTAAGGACAGCCTTTGTCGCTAAGGGTTAGGGTTAGTGTTTATAAATACAATATCAAGGCTAGGTACGTTCAATATCGAGGAGATGGTAAATCTAAAAATTGTTACGATCATCCATTTTTATCAACGCGATAATCAGAGTGCAGGTTACGTAATTCGGAACCTAGTCAAACTGATTGGCTAGTCAAAACGTGATGATTAACAATCTTCCATTTCATCTTCCCACTATCATCAATACGTGTATAATGCTAACACTTGGAAAAGAAAGGTACATACACGTAGGGTGGAGAATAGGCTGGATCGGACCGGGCTAATGTAGGCCCAGACCAAGGTACAGAAAATTTTTTTGGGCCCAAGCCCGGTCTAGGAAAAAAAAAAAGCCCAGAATAACAGGCCCAGGCCAGGCTTTATTAAAATTAGGCCCAGCTCGACTAGGCCCACCTGGGTCTAGTCAGGCCTCACAATTAAGTTTAAACTTTATTAGCCAATCAAATTTTGAGATCGTATATATAAAAAGTTAAAAATCTAAAAATCATCCACTATTTTGCTGGTTATTAGTAGTATGGTGCAGGAAATTTAAACGCCCCTATATCATTATACAGAGATAATGCATAAACTTTGACAGTACATTGATAAATTTCTTAAATTATTTCAATCATTTGTATAGAAATAATTCGCCAAGAATAATATGCATATAATAGGAACTATTTTACATATGCATACTACTGAACCTTAAAATAAGCCGCTGCTGAATTCAGCTTATCTCTAATGTGTAGTTAATCTTTATTCTATATAAAGTGATCGAGGTTGTTAGATTTTTTGTGCCGTATATGCATAAATAAGCATATATACTTTAATAAATTGCTGAGGTTATCATGTGGATATTGTTCAAATTTTTAATTAGAGATCTTTGAGATCTATAACGTGATCGGTGATGGAATTTAAACTACGTATAAATACAATAAATCATCATAAAAATAATACAATCACTATTCTTTCACTTTTTTGACCTAGTTAGATGGAATGCTATAATTTATAATATTATTTTTTAATGCGCTCTAACTCAAGAAATTTTAATGTTGATCACTTTTACATTGAACGAAAATATTTTCTGAAATTGAATATTGAATATGTACTAAAATTGACATATTTACGCACCTTTGTTTCAAATTTTGTTATTATAAAAACATTGGGTATGTGAAAGAGTCTGGTTATTACTGTTTTTGAATTAGCATGATCATAGAATTTTATGGACACAATAAAGCTCTTGAAGACAATAGTAAAATAAGACAATAGTAATGTGGGAATTCTATGACTGCAACAGCAATAATCGTGATAGTGCTTACTTTATTTGAGTCTGTGCATATAATACATTATGTACGGTAATATGATTTTAAGATCCATCCTCATCGTAAATTGTTTTTAAATAGCACAACATTAGAGTTACAGAAGGCAATAATTATCTGTTGTAGAAGAGAACGTGTGTAAGTATTTATATCAAAAAAAAGACGAACCGAGAGAAATGTAGTTAATTTTTTTTTTTTTTTTTTTGGTTGCGTCGTCTCTGAATAGACTTGGAAATATTAATAAAAATAGACTATGGTATAGATTAATACATTAAAGAAATCATAGTCTTTTGATTTTTGTTAAACTTATAAAATCATTGTAATATTAGGAAGCACCTTTTCTTCTGTTGATGAAAGTGCAAATGAAAATGAAACCCCAGAAGAAACAGCTATCAATAAAAGTGCCAAAATGACTGCCATTAATGAAAATACTGAAATAACCATCATAAATGAAAGTGCCGAAATAACCACCATGAATGAAAATGCTAAAATAGTTAACGAAAATGATGAAACAACGGTTGATGAAAGCTTTGAAGTTACCATCAGTAATAAAAAATGCAAGCTAATATTATGGGTTTTTAAGGAAGGTCATTTTATTGAGCATCCCCAAAAAAGTAAAAGTTCATGTTTTATATAATATCGCAATTATTAATTTGATAAA